ACGTGATTAGTACTATTCTATTTACCGACATTACGAATGTCTATGAAAAAATGGCGACAAGCAGGCGGGGAGTAAATGGCTCCAGGAGGGATAAGGTTGGACTCGGTGTACAGGGTAGCACTTGGAGGTACAGGTTCGAACTGAAATAAGGTTGGACTAGGTGATACAAGGTTGGAACCAGGCATAAGGTTGGAACATGTCATTGGTTGTGATCCTTGACTTTATTGGCTTATGAGCATGTTTGATGTTATCCTATGAATGTTATTGTTACCTTACTGTGTCGATTATATGTTGATTCTGTCATTCCTATTGATCTATTGAGTAAGTGTTGGTATTGGTCTTCGTTTGAGAGTGATTCCAATGAGTTCTATGATGTTTCTATTCCTCGTTTAAAAGAACTATATTATGTATTCCAAGTCTCAAATGGTTTTCTTATATCTATACCTATACCGTACTCAACGAGTAGTGGTGGGTTACTTAGCATTATTCGCTAACGGGTGCTACCCTTATGTTTTTCAGGTACAGAATAGATGGTTTGAGCGCGGTAGATGGAGATTTAGTTAGCGTAGCTCCCTTTTATCCTTAGCTTAGACTTGTGGCCTGCGAGCCGTAGACTTGCAAACTAATGTTTTATGGTTGGATGTTGATGTTTAGTATTTGGTTTTCTAGTGTGTGCATCTAGCTTGTAGTTAGATGTGGCATGACACTTCCCGGTTTTGAAAGTTTAGCTTCCGCGTTTTAAACTCTTAATGATTAGTTTACCGTATTCGTTAAGCTTTAATTATCTTGTTTGTGCTTAAAATCGGGGGTGTTATACCACACTACACTGCAACAAGCGAAACCTCTCACCCCTACAATGCATACAACGGACCAAATAACTGCACATGAACCACCAACCACACCTCGATCTCATTTCTCTGTCTCTCACGACAGTGCCATCACCTTTTTCGTACACGCTGGGGATGACCATTTCGAAGGTCACTAAAGTTTCGAACCGGAGGAAATACGTGAGGAGATACATTTCGGAGATTGTTCTCTAGAGTCCATTGGCCATCGCCAGCTTTCTCCGTGCGGCGGTGTCAAGTCGGAGACGACAGAGATGAGGTCGCAGCTACCGGCATTGATGGGTACTTGGAAAAGCACAGCCATGGGGATACTTTGCATATGTTCCCCAGGCTGAGACAACAAAACTGTCAAAAGCCAAGAAGATGTTGACAATCGAAGCTCCCACGAAGCCAAAATCCAAAGTTCCTAAGGTGCCTAAGTCCAAGAAGCCGAAGAGTAAACCAACCAAGTCATCGCAGCCAACCGAGACGGTACGAGAAGTGGTGGACGAGACGTCACCGACTTAGGGGGAAACAGATCAAAATGGATGCAGCTTGAGAGGTTGTTGAAACCGAGCCCTCCATTCAAAGTTCAACCAAGAGGCCTTGAACAGCTAAGGAGTTGGAAACTGTTCTAGAGGCTGAGTCTCTAGCCGAGACATCCCGTGAGGAAAATGTTCCAGTTATCCTTCGACGTCAACTCATCCCAGCAAGTAGAAGATATGGTGAGTGAGGAAGTAACTGATGTCATTATCTAGGAAGATAAGACTTGTTTTAACACACGGGAGTGTGGGTGCCCAAGACGTTCATGCCATATATCTGGAGATGCTTTGGCGGACAGGAATGCAGCGGGTTTGGACAGATTCAACGAGTACATCCCCCGCGTGCTAGGACCCCTAAGCAGAGTTTGCTGAGTGGTACGGTCTTTCACAACAAAATAAGTAGGGTGAAACTCAAAAAAGACGTCATTATCTTGGGTAATTTTGTGTACAGAAAGAAGAGACGCACACAATTGAGGAACATGCAATACTTGATTTAGAAACAGAGACCGAGACTTTGAACTTAACGAAACAGAACCAGTATTTTGAATGACCAAACCTGTCACATCTCCGACGTGTAGCGACTCACCACCTGAGTATGGCTCGACACCGCCTAAGCCATCGACGTTGGGAGTAGCATGAGCGTTAGTGTCCGGTAGCCATACACTATAGAAGGGGACAGAGGTGAGATCATTTTGCTGCGGTTGATAGACGACATGTGCCTGAGGTTGATTCACGCCATCGACTGTCGGTTGAGCAGAGGGGGGTCCTAGCCGCCGAATTCCTCAAATCTCCGGTAGCAAGTGAGAGCTGTGTGTCCGGGGATCTCACATATCTGACACCGAATGTCGCCGCGACCACGTTGCCCTCTACCACGCTGGCCACGATGGTTTCGTCCACACCCACGACCGCCGTCGGAGGGACCTTTGAAATTCAACGCCGACTGGTGTGCAACCATGGCTACGGTCGGAAGCGGGGCATGCGGGTTGGTTTCTTCTGGAAACAAATAGCGATGAGTGTTGAGGAGGTCCGCCACTTCTGGAATGGACAACGAAGTAGCTTTGGTGGTGAGGGACGCCACCAGTGACCGGCATTCCGGCCGAAGTCCTTTAAAGATGTAGAGGTTCTGCTCATCGAGCCCTATAGGACGGCCAGCCTGCGCAAGCTGTTCGACCAGAACCCGCGCACGACCCAGGTATTCAGAAGGCGTGGAGTCACCTTGTTGAAGGCTCTGTAATTGAGTAAGCAAACTCAACATACGAGAGCGCGAAGTGGATCCCAGGGCCGTCTCCGCCGCAACCCAGACGGCTCTAGAGGTGTTATGCCCGATCGCCAGGTACAACACTTCTTCTGAGAACGAAGAAAATAGCATACTCAAGATCGATTGATCTTGTAGTGTCCGGGTGGAGTGAAGCGGGTTCACCATTGGGGATGCCGACGACGTGGAAGCGGCAAGGAATTCCGGTGGACAAGCGTGGGTACTGTCTACAAACCCGTAAAGGTTCTGTCATCGCAAGAATGGCACTAGATGCACTCTCCAGAACAAATAGTTCATGGCTGTCAGCTTGATTGACACATAATGGTGTGCCTGTTGGAGTGTGTTCGGCGGCCGTTGAGTGGAAGGTGCGACCTCTTCAGTTGGGCGGGTCGACAGAGCAACCTCCGTGGTGGTGGCATCACCGGGAAGGGTTGGGTTGGCCATATGACCGATATTAGGCTGATACCAAGTGAAGTAATATAATCTGTGATTGATGTTGCCTGTGAGTTTACATAGGTTTATATAGCTAACCTAAGCACCACAATAGGTGGAGCAGTACATGACTTTAGCTGAAGAAACTAACAACTCAAAACATACTTATTCTATCAACTTTAATTCTAAATAGTTGCACCAATAGAGACATCCCGTGAGGAAAATGTTCCAGTAACCCTTCGACGTCAACTCATCCCAGCAAGTAGAAGATATGGTGAGTGAGGAAGTAACTGATGTCATTACCAGGATAGCACGAGAGGTACGTGCTGAGGTTGCAAGTGACAGCAAAGCTACCACCGAGGACCCAGCAGCGCATCAAAGTCCAATCAATGTTGACGTCGAATTGGCTTAACAAATAGCTAATGAAGATTTAACTGAGGATATCTATGCTGGTGAGGAAAGTGAAGTCTACACTAATGAAAACCTGCTCGCCGAGCTCATCTGAGTCACTACATGGCAGGACTCACGCATTCAGACCTTAACACTCTGGAAGAAGGTCTTCCACACATGCGGCGTTCGCGTTGAATTGACTTGGAACATCCTCTATTCTTCTCACCACAACAATCGATGAAATCCACTGAGTTTACACGGTGAAGTTGACCGAGAGAGAAGCTGCCAAGGGTAAGGCTAAAGTGGTAGAGGATCAAGCTGAGGCCCCTCTCATTGCTCATATTGAGAAAGCTTTTGCCAAAGAGATGAGAATGGCCCAAGCTTTCTCCATATTTGAAGTTGAGTTTGTGGATCCAAACCCTTAGGCTAGAACAAGCACAAGCGTTCCAGATCAGCCGAGTAATCCAACTCGAGAGATTGGAGAGGACACATCTCATGCTGATATTGACCAAATGGTTAAAGAGGTCATCTTGACTTCTGTTGTTGAGGCCTAGACGTCATAAGCTCAACCAATCAACAGGCTGAGGAAGCAACACAACCATCTACCGATGAGTCAAATCGAGAGGTTGAGGAGGCAGTTCATCAAATGATTCATATATTTATTTATTTATTTATTTATTTATTTATATAGAGTTTATCAAGTTTGTTCATGTCTATCAATAAATCAGTTACATGATTATATATCATACAAATATATAGGCATGGAATATAATGTATGTAATTATAAAAATGTATAATGTTGAAAATGATTTATATATTTTTGAATGTTGTTGCCTCTTTCACCTCCACTAAGGTTCGAATTCACAATCTCCCATATGGAAATTCAACCCGAGTGTCATCTGAGTACAAGGTGCTTGGTAATTTATATAAATATATAATCATACAATATATGACAACAAGTATTATTAGTTTAGTTGGTGATAATGAGGTTAGATTAGATTAAAAAGCTAGGAGTTTAATTCTTTGTATGAATAAAAATTTCAACCCTAAAACAATTAAATTACAAAATATATTTGGATAAACTTTATGTATGAAGGTTAATTAAACGGATTTCATATGTAGGGCCCTGCCCAAACAGGTCTAGAAAATTGTATCCCAATGAATTGGGTCCGTTTTGACCACTTTACATATTACTAATCACTTTGCAAGTTGTGAGTATTATTCATAAGTATATATTTTTAGAATTTCGAGAGTGGTTGGAAGTTAATTGGTTGGAAACTTGATTTAAGATTAAATCACAAATTTGAAAGTTTGATTACTTTTTGGTGGTCAAAAGTTGTTAAATTTTCATGCCCTTAGCTTTAATATAAATTTTAAATTAGATTTTTTAAAGTAAGAAAGAGTAAATAAAGGTGTTGTCGACTTGTCGTGTTGAGAGTTGATGAGGAGTAAAAAAGCTAGAAAAAAAATTAATAATAATGATTAGTAAGAATCATATTGTAAAACGGGAGTATATATTAGTCAGAGCTCGTAAATGAACGTGCCATACACTAGAACACTACAACAAGAAAGAGGGAGAGAGAGAGAGAGAGAATGGACAACACAAACGAGCTCTACAAAGAGTGCCTACGAAACCATGCAGCCAGCCTCGGCAGCTACGCCACCGACGGCTGCGGGGAGTTCACACCGGACGACACCTCCCCCGGCGGCGCCGCCTCCCTGCAGTGCGCCGCCTGCGGCTGCCACCGCAACTTCCACCGCAAAGTCGCGTACGGGCGCGGCAGGGCCGTGGTGGAAGACCACGACATGATGATGACCACCACCACCACCCCCACCCCGCCGCCGCCGGAAATGATAGAGTCGCCGGAGCGGAGCGGGAAGAAGAGGTTCAGGACGAAGTTCACGGCGGAGCAGAAGGAGAAGATGCTGGCGTTCGCGGAGAAGCTGGGGTGGAAGCTGCAGAGGAAAGAGGAAGAAGACGAGATTGAGAGGTTTTGCAGAGGGGTTGGGGTTAGTAGAAAAGTATTCAAAGTTTGGATGCATAATCATAAGAACAATAATTCTTCAACTCCTTCTGCCAATGTCTCTTCTCTTACCCAATAAACCCAATTTCATTTCTCACTTAATTTAGCTTAATCATATATATATATATATATATATATATATATATATATATATATATATATATATATATATATATAAAACCTTAGTTAATTATCCGTTAATTACCCAATAACAGTTGAGATTGTCTAATATATGAGAGACAAAATTTTGGGTGATTCATCTGCATTTCTTTACTGCTACTTGCTAATTAATGGTTAAGATTGTCTGTATAATATGTTAGACTTATATATATAATTTGGGGGTGGATCAGAATTGGAGCAATCTGATCTGTATTTCCCTTTTATTGGATAACTGTTGAGATTACTTGTCGGCTGCTAAATGGGTCTGGCTAGTAGAATTCCCACAAAAAGAGAGGGAGGAGTACAGTTATTCAATCCCTAAAACTTTTGTTTTTTCTTTTTTTTCTTTTCTTTTTTTATAATAACACAGGTTTTAACCCGGGGTGGTAGCTCAGATGGTAAATACTAAATAAGCTCTCTTTGAGAGGGAGAATTTCATGATAACTCGTGATTCCTCCCGACCAGCTCCTAGCCACTCGAAGCGAATAGGGATTAGTTGGGTGGACAGAGATTTTAGTTGGTTTTTGTAGGGGTGATTAGAGAGAATATGGGAGATAGAAGGGAAATGATCCGAGGAAAAAAAAAAGTAATAGATCTAATCGCACCTAGTAGGCGCATGCAATGCGCGTATGAGAAAGTCATTGTTTTTTGTGGACATTGGGTCTCCCAAAAAATCAAGTCTTGTAAGAGGAACTCAACATTTCCTTTCCAAGCTTCTCTCTCTTCTACATGGATATAAAAGCTGCAAAAATCATCCAAAATCTCCCTATTGGGTTATTCTGAGATATAAATCGGAGTGATTTTTAACTCTTGAATATTTTTCTTTTGACCTTTCGACTTTTGTATAGTCATCAAATATTCTCTTTTTTTACTATTATATTTCCTTGGCTTGATTTTCTTGTGACTTTTAGCTCTTCAAGTGAGTTTTCCTGTCATACATTATTTGAAACCAGCACAACAATTAATTCTGCTAATGTTTGGTCAAAATATCTAAAAAATGGTAGGAAACTCAAAGTTGAGAAATTAATTAATAGTACAAATAATAATAATAATCGATGGTTATAAGTGAAAATACTACAAAAGTTGAAGGACTAAAGTAGAAAAAATTCTTTTAAAAATTTTTAAAATTATGAATTGAGATTTCTAATTGTGAATTTACCGGTAACTCCAGGCTCTAGTGGCAGTGCTAAAGAGTCCATGGTTGCAACTAGAGCAACAAAAAATGTCGAAACTCTAAAATTTAAATTGACTAAAAATCTTATTTTAGATAAAAGATTTTAAATATTAATTCGATTATAAGTGATGACACAAATATTAAGTTTGAAGAGTATTTGGGGGTGAAGTGATATCATCTGTGAGTACATGTTAGGTAGGTAAATTACAGTTGGCTCTGATTTCTATTTTCTAGTTCCTATTATTATAATAGAAGATAGAATATTATTATTATTATTATTATTATTATTATTATTATTATTATTATTATTATTATTATTATTATTATTATTATTATTATTATTATTATTAATGTTGCCATTTCAGAAACCCCATACTAGTATGATTGTGGTCTCCGTTGTATAGGCATGGCCATGTTTGTAAAAGTACAATCTTTTTCCGAATAATTTCACCTATACACCTAAGGTTGAGACTAGAAACACATGGACCTCCTCTCCTACCATCTATGCCAAAGTAATTTATTACCATTATTCACATTTGGTTAACAACAGTGAATTTTCTTGTAAACTAAAATTATTAGCAATGTTTCATTTTATTAGTGACACATATTTATAATCAATTTGTAAATTATATATATAGTTAAAATTTAGTTAATATAATAACATATTTTAATTCAAATTTACAGTGTATTTATGACAATTAATTTAATTAATGGCTTAATTCAAATATAATTAACTATCTTGCATTTACGCATGCTAAAAATAGTTAGGGTTAATTCCACCTGAGGTCACTTGTCTTTGCTCTTTGGTGGCAATTTCAAATTTAGTCACAGACTATTGTTTCTACCATTTAACATCTCAGACTATTATTTTTTGGACACTTTTAGTTCTTTTCATGACTTTTTCTATTTTTACTAAAGGCATTTTTGTCCCTTCATATTTTTCTTTTGTTATTTTTCTGATTTCAACCGGTTTAATTGGTTTAGAACTTTAGATAACCTCTGATTTTTAGTAACCATATTTTTTCAACCGATGTTTAGTAACGTCCTAAACCAGTTAAACCGGTTGAAATCGGAAAAATAACAAAAGAAAAATATGAAGAAACAAAAATGTCCTTATTAAAAATAAGAAAACTCATAAAAAGGATTAAAAGTGTCCAAAAAACAATAGTTTGGGATGTTAAATGGCAAAAACGATAGTCTGGGACTAAATTTAGAATTGTCACCAAAGACAATGGACCTCTGGTAGAATCAACTCAATTAGTTAGTATATAGTAGTTTGTAACTCTATAGCATCGTTGTAGTTCTCCCAAATGAGAGGTCACAGGTTCAAACCCAATAATCTTATTTCGATAGATGGACATATACTACATTGTAACAAAATTGGTAGTATTAAAAAAAAAAATTATATGTCTGCTATAAAGCCAATAATTATATGTATGGGTTGGGGTTCAACCTTTTGGAAGAATGTATTGGTAAATGACCTTATTCCGATGGATGATGCTACACGCCAAGGCTTTGGATCACTTGCCCTCTTCAATCCCTCCACATTGTGTCTTATGACAGTTCAATATTCATTGTAGTCCCACTCACCATCCGGAGTTTGTATTCTTTATTAACGGAGTATTATTTTTCACTTTTACTACAGTTTTCGAGCAAAAGAAGAAAATCAACTGTGTCAAAAATCATCTTTTCTGTAGGAGTATAGGACATGTCTATTTTTAAACTATTCATGTATTTGGATCAGTTAATTCTATTGTGTCAATAATAATTAATATCAAATGCTTAGTAATGTTAATGAGTTTAAGTATAAAAAGTAAAAGTCTCTTGGTTTGGTAAGAAATAAGAATTAAAATTAAATAAATACTCCATAAACAATTAAATAATTAATTAATTAATTAATTTTTAAATAAATAAAAATATAAAAATATACTCTGTATAATACACATGTATAAATATGTACATATATATTAAAGTTCTATGTTTACCACAAGAACAATGACATTTTTTTTGAAGTTTTTTCTTTCTCATTTTTCATTTCATTTTCTAAAAAAAAAGGATAATGAATTTATAATTACACGTAGTAATAGATATCAAATTTGATAATAAAGTATGAAAATCACCTATCAATCTACCTAAGGTAATTAAATAATAATAATAATAATTTTTTTTAATGACAGTTGTAATTATTTTGATATAAATTTAATTTTTCAATTATTTTACAGTCCATATTTAATATTTAACTTATTAGCAAAACTGCAAATTTAGTCCTTGGTTGGATTTGATTAACATCTCCCACTTCTTTAAGATTTTAGAGAGTAAATCTACCCCTATAAGGAATTGAGAGAAATTTACATCATAATCACAACTGATGGGCTAAATTGCGATTGCACGTAGTAAAAGAATAAGCAAATATCATTAGAAGAAAAGGCATTTGTGATTATGGTGTAAATTTAAACCATTAGAAGAATAATGGCAGGGGAGAATAATAATTTAAACTAGTGCAGATATCATTAGAAGAAAAGGCATGCAGTAAATAAGCAAGTAATTAGCCAGTAACATAGGGCTGTACATGCCTACCTAGCTAGCTTCTTTTCCCCTTTGTTTGGATACTTGGATAGTTGGATATATATTTATGTATTGCTAATATAATAGACTAGGAGTAGAAAAGGCTAGCAACGCACAACAAAACACTTGCCACCAAATACAAAAGACAGAAATCCCCACCATGTTAGAGAATGTAGAAAGAGAGATGACACCCCCCTACTATCACATTATTTGAACATCATTCTGAGAAACTTGCACCTCACTTAGCCAGCATCATGCGTACAAATTCCTCATAATTAACTTGCCCATCGCCATCTATGTCTGCTTCGCGTATCATCTCATCCACCTCTTCGTCTGTCAGCTTCTCCCCCAGGTTTGTCATCACATGACGGAGCTGCATGTGCCACCGCAGATGCACCTCAGAAAACCTTCAAAATATTCTACTCATTACTCAAAATTATCAGGTACAGAAAGGAGATACCTCGGCTGCAGAAATGAACCCGTTCTGATCTTTATCGAATACTTTGAAAGCTTCCTTGAGCTCCTCCTCAGAATCAGTGTCCTTTAAAAAAAAAAAATCACAATTATTCACATGTAAAGGGATATAAGCTGTTTTTCTTTGCTTCTTTAACTCAGCACTTCAGAAAAGGCCATCAACATTTGGGGTAAGAACGCCTAAAGACCAAGTTACTTCCACCGTAAAAGGTATTTGTATTGGTATAGATAAAACAGTACTCAAAAATATTGTAACAAGTCCTCTCCAAAATAATGGCAATCTTTCATATGTTTCACATACCCTGATACCCATATCTTTTGGAGTTATTTACAATGAAAATTCAATTGCAGTTTTTGCATGTTTTACATAATTACATGCATAGATTGAGGCACATTTAGAGTAATACAATAGGACTATTTGACATAGGGTATTAGAGTTCTAGTTAGTCTAGTTATTATAGTTTGAGTATCATTCAATTGCATGTAATTCCAATCTAAAGGGTATCAATTTGCTATATAAAAGAGATTTCTATCAATAATATATGTCAATCACATTTTATTCTATCCACAAATTATTTTACATTTTATGCATTTTGATTATATTGCTATATTAGTTTTCCTTACCATTTTTTTATCTGAATTAAAAAAGCTTCATAGTGCCCAATTAAGGGGACGTTATGCCATGGAACCGTGTTCACCATTCATGGTGAACACGGTTC